ATGCTTAAATGCTCAGTGAGTGTGTGTGTCATAGGAATACATGAAATAATAAACCAGTGTGTGATTTGTCAGTGCACAGAGTACATTGCTTCAACACGTATCTTTTAAAAGTCAACTAAAAGGTACAGTATATGTCTTCAGTAAATCAGTACATTACACTACAGCATCTCTTTTGAGATGCCACAGAATGTGTTCCCACTGAGATGGTTTGTGGAGGGTCCATCCTGTATCCTACATCCTGTAGTGGAGAGGTGCTGGCCACCAGGGCCCTGCTGTGATGTACTCTTAAAGACAAAGTAAAATTAAGTAACTTTAACTGATATTACACCAGATGAAAATCAATCAATCAATCAATCAATTTTATTTATAAAGCCCAATATCACAAATCACAATTTGCCTCACAGGGCTTTACAGCATACGACATCCCTCTGTCCTTGTAACAGAGCTCAACGTGAAAAACATGTTGTACATCTACCATAAAACATATATTAAAAGGTGATTCACAATCAAACTCTAAGTGTGACCACACATTTTGATACATAAATGTAGGTCCTGATTTGACCCCTGGTCTGACTGCTGTTGCGTTATTGGCTAACTACTTGAGCTAGCGGTAGTTAGCGGTTTAGATTGAGCACAACATCTATAAATGTTGAAGCTTTTATGGACATGCTACACATCCGTAGCTGTGTTAGATTCTTTACAATTCAATCTTTCAGTTCATCTTACTGAGACCACCCAGCTGGCAGTATAACTTACTATAAGCCCAGTAGCAAAAGCATTCAGAACAATAACTTTGGTTAGTTAGCTGAGGCCTATAGCTAAGCACTGGGTGTATAGCCTAACGTAAGCTCCTCCTACTCCATCTACTCCACACTTCAATGCTCAGAATCAGCCTTCTTGTTTGTTTTGGCACAACAAATTTATAACTCATAAAGCATACTTACAGGTTGTGATCTTGAATCTCCAAATTTGCCTAACAAAGTGAACTGCCCCTTCTTTCAGGAGTAACCGCTGTGAAAATCCAGCTGTAAACTGTTGCCAGTTAGTGAAGCAGTTCTCGGAAAAAATGGAGGGAACAATAAAATGTCTGGGTTATATTTTTGAGGAATACTGGTAAAAATAAATTCTAGCCACTTATCCTTTGTCTCTTCTTCCTTTGGCAGTCCAAACAAGGGTATTTTGCATTCACACTGAAAAAAGCAGCGTCTCCTCGCAGGCCCGGTGCCAGGATGAAGTTACTGAGGGGGGTTAAAAATTACGAGCGGGCAAATCTTTATTATGCAACATAGGTTCACAGTGAGTGTCTGTTTCTGCTGCTGTAATGTTACTGCCCTTAAATGTCTGGGTATTTGTGGTTTTGTGTTTTTGCTGTGCTGGACTTTATTGTCATATGCATTTAATGCACTTTTTAGTACTTCTGCTGGGCTTCTCTGGACATTAATGTCATATGCACTTTTTGCACTTTCTAAAATTACTTCTATGTCAGTATTAAGTTGCTCATAATGATATCTTGTTGTTAATTATAACTGTGTTATTATGACAATGACAAATAAAGAAATGATTGATTGATTGATTGATTGATTGATTGACTGATTATAAAGAGCGCGCAGCCGTGCGTAATTGTCGTGCGTAATGACAGCTCGTCGCCGGTGAAACACAATAAACTGCACGTCTTCTTTCACGTTTGTCTCATGACAGATGGAGCTTACAGACAGGCAGACAGGTGGAGCAAGCGGCAAATTGGAATGAAAGCTGGTTCAGGGCATATTCGTCCATTTATGAATAAATATGAAGTGGAAATGCTCATGCATGTGTTCCTACATTAATTGAGAGGCTTTACAAATATGCCGAAAATAATGTGTATATTTCTGGCTTTCTGCATACACATTTTTATCATGTCATGAATCTACACAGATTTTCCACTAGCCTAATCTGTCATCCAAAGCTGGATGTCCCCGATTTCAAAACTCAATCATCATCAATCACCCTGCTATGTCTGGATGCATGTCTGACATATCCAGCAGAAAAAAATGTGTGTGACATAGAACATAGAAAAATAAACCAGCTACATTCTGTCTTACCTTTCCTCAGTAGAGTTGCAGCCTTCTCGTTTGTTTGTTGAACTTTCTGAGTAAGCGAGGAGCCACTGGCCTCGGCTACAGTCTCTTCTGTAGTGTTTTGTTTTTTGTTTTTTTTTACAAAACCACGTTCCTATATCCATCTTTGGCTTGAACTGCTTTTTGGGCAAAGAACACACTAATGCGATGGCAAAGTAGGTTGACCAAACCATTTAGCAAGCAAGCTAGCTTAAATCACATACTACGGTGCGCCGTGAGGCCAAACCTAATACAACATGCAACAAACGGCGCTGTCCATGGTTCTGAAATTACCGCAAATAACAGGGGGTTATGGTGTTTCACTCTCCTCTCAAACACCATAACCCTATGTTAAAGAAAACAACAAAAATACTGTTTTTGCAGATTTACTATGGTACACAAAACTTAAACTGAGGGGGCAAAAAATCAAACTGAGGGGGCAGTGCCCCCCCTCGCCCCCTCGTGGCGCCAGGTCCGTCTCCTCGACAGTTCCTCAACAGTTCAAACTCTCCACAGCCTCTCCTCCAGCTCTGCTCTGAGTAGGATTGTTGGGGGCGTGGCTCAATGGCCCCCAGGCGGGTATTGTCTGCATAGATAATGTGTTACATAGTGATGCAACCAAGTCACGGTAAAGGCAGGAATGTAAATGAGGCGTTTCAGGCAGTTGAGGGAGCTCCCTTTAGCCTGGAATTTGGGCATTTTTACTTTTCAGCCCTTATAGATGCATAAAAATGCTATACAAAACACTAAAGAATAGGGAAAATCCTTAAAGTTACAATGTGTAATTTACGTGGTTGTTTATTAGCAAATATCAACTATTGCTTTCATAACAATACAAATACAATACAATACAATACAAATGGAAGCTTTCTCATAGGCTTAGAATGATTTCTCTATATATTTCTCTATATATACACACAGGCAGGGCGCAGTCTGCTGGAGGCTGCCCTCTTCCTTTGCCATATTTGAATACAGTGGCCTAAAGGGATATACACGCTTCGCCTTTCGCGTTTACCTAGAACTTGCCGTAACTGGAGACGGTTAAGGTGAAGATCAGTCGGTGAAGATCGCGCTTCTGTGTGAACCTGCTTTGTACTTTTATGATTCTGTCGCACTTTAAATGGAGGACCACACATATGTTTTGCCCCGTGAGAGAGAAACCACGACACCAAATAAAAGAAAAAGATCAGATAAGCGAGGACGGGACAAAACGCGAGTGAATATCGGCATTGCTTATTCCAGGTGGAAAGAACTCCTGAAGGAGAAGGATTTCACAAGGGATGTGGAGGTTGCCTGCTTTCTGCTAGACAGGTAATTCAATCTGATATTTTAAAATCATTTTGGCTTCATGTTTGCAACTACTTTTCCCTCTCGTCTAAGTCTGAGTGACGGCTAATGTTACGTTTATGTGCTAACGTTATCCTAGCCTTGGCTAACGTTATCCCAGAGCTACAGCTAAATGGTTAGCCTAGCTACAGCCTAATCTGTTGATTCCTCTCACACTGCTGCGAAAACTGCCATCCTCTCCTCCTCCTCTTCCCTCTGGGTAGCCGAGACACACCTCTTCGCCTGGCCGTTCCTGTACCGCCTCTGCCCCCTTCCTCTCCCTGGTCTTCCTCCTCTCCCTCTCCCTCTTCCTCATCTCCCTGTGTCCAATGGAAGAACACTCTGGACGATTATAATATATGCGTCTCCAGAGTGTTCTGGAGACGCATATATTATAATCGTACCAACCTATATTTGCTGCACTGTGCCGTGACTATCACATAAACGTGTTATATTAGCATTACTGTGCTAATGCTCGTGTTACCAAAATAATTAGAAATAAAACACTCCTAACATATATCTCACAGATAACCTGCATCTCACTGGTAAGCTATAACATATCATAACATGGTTTAGATTCCTAAATAAATATTCACCTCGTCGCTAGATACTCCTGAAAAACTCGAAAAACTCTGCTGTCTGCGCAAGGCTTTTTGTCCTACGATGCCACTGCCTCGTAGGGGGTGAGTGAGTGAGCGTTCACTCACCACGAGTGAGCGCTGCAATCTAGAATTTGACTGCTGATGTCACTGTTACTCACCATTTTTACACACTGAGGCTTTAAAAACATAATAGGTCCTCTTCAATGTACTTAAAGCTTGCACTGTGCGGCTGTAGTATCTAGGAAAACAGAAGTATCAGATTTGGACTCTGTATCCGTAGATACTCTTCTCACTACAGTAGCCGACGCAAATATGCAAATGGCCCTATTTGGAGGTAGTGTTTGGTTTGTCTGTTCTGGGCTACAGTAGAAACATGGTGATGCAACATGGTGATCTCCATAAATGGAGAGCCACTCCCTATGTAGATACAAACGGTTCATTCTAAGGTAAGGAGAACACAATTCATATTTTCAGGTTGTTATATGTTGCAGAAAAAATACTTATATTATATTCCACTTCTGCCAAAATATCCCTCTAAATCCTACACACTGGGACTTTAAATGTGCTGTGTATTGTACATGTGTTATTAAATCACATGTACTTTTATTGTGTAATTAATCAACAGTTAGTTACTTCTACCACTCTCCTTTTTACCTTTCTACTTTGGACTGAGGTACAAGAAGACTAAGGTACTAGACCAGAAACTTTGTATAAATTGGATATCTATAATTTTATTCAATAAGGTTTAATGCAGAGTTGCAGTTACATTTCAATAAAATACGTTCCTATTCTTAATGATTTAAAATATTATATAAATATTTTATGTAAAACTAAATATATGCAAGTGGAGGTTGACAATGATGTATGTTTTCTTTTTAAAGAACAAAATGCAAAAATACACTCAGGCAAACAGGCACATTTTCTTTTTGCTACATCATGGCAAATACCACAATGGAGGTCACATATGGGGACACACCTGTATGAATTCTGGTGTGAGGTCAGCTGTTAGGAGCCAGTCCTCCAGTCTTGGGTATCTACGCAGAGCTTGAAGGCTCTCCCTCTCTGGTATCCTCTGCTTCCACTGCAGCTGCGTCCAAATGTACTTGGTTAGCTTCACCTGTGGGGGCAGCAAACACAACACAGACTGCTTCACTCTGTCTCACTGACAGTTCGCAGCACTATTGCCAAGGGTGGAAATCCCGGGAGGGACAGGGGGCTCAAGACCCCCCTCCAGTAAAGCTGCCCCCCCCCACAATAATTTGAGACACAATTAATAATTTTTGAACAATGCAGTAGTATTTATTGAAAGCACAATGTAAGCAGTGCTCATTATAATCGCGTGTAGCCGAGTCTAAAACATTTAAGTTTAGACTAATAAATATGTTTTAAAAACTGTTTAAAATAGAATTATTTCATATGTGGAAAAATGTTTAAAAGACATTTCATTAAAATAAGTTAGGTTAAAGAGTCTTAATTACAGTTCATAAGTGAATTAAAAACAACAGTGCTATAGGCAGATAAATAAATCTTTGTGGGTGTATAAAGTTCATTGACGTTTAAATAGTTTGTTTATGATGCACAGAAGAGAAACGTGTTCAGCTCACAACCTAGTTTCTGAGAGCATCAGGTTGTCAGTCATGTCATGTTGTTAACTGTATTGGTTGTTATTCACTCGTCAGCCTATCTGATAGGTAGAGGGGCGGGATGTAGAGGAGACCCCGTAGATTACAGCCATGGGCACGTCAGATGAAAACAAATGACGCTGTGTAAAAGTACGCTGCTGGAGATTTGTGTATGTCCGTTACGTTGGTGGATACAGAGTTTACCGAAGTGTAAGGGACATATTGCAACTGCAGAAGGTAAATAACCTCTGTGTAATCTGTGTATTGTTTCATCAATATGTAGCATGTAAAATATTGATGCTAACCGCGATTAGTGTTAGCATGGTAGCTAAACTAGCTCATATCTCACTGTAGGAGCCGCTAATGTTACTGTGTGTGCTGATATGTGTAAATGTTTATTAGTTGGAAGCTCGACATGAGTTTCAGTGTGAGATATGTGACTGAGAAAAACTGTCATGTACATTCGTTAGACTGAGGACCAGGAAAAGCTCCTTGGACTCTCCTCTGTCATTTGAGAAGACTAGACATCATCTTTCGCCCGGACATCTCTGTACCAGGACTGTTGTCGGCAGCCCGCCGGTGGCCTCCTCCGCTCCTCGTCTCCCTCTCGTCATACTGCGCCAGGTTTTCCCCCTTTACCAAGTTCACATCAGGATTTGTGAATAACAGAAACACAGTGCACGTGCATTTTATTTTACAGCTTGCCTAGCAAGTGAAACGACCACTTGTTTTAGGTCTCACCGCTCCCAAGCAACGAATCAGGCCTGCAACGGGTTTTTTGTTTTGTTTAAAGGACATTACACTTATTATTTGGGTTGCAGAGTGAGTGTGAATGTGGGTGAGTGTGAGCCTTTTAGGTGTAACTGAAAAATAAGGTAAACAAAAGGTCACAACTGTTGAGAAAAGAACAGAAAAAGGAACACATTTAAGTTTTGTATAATTTCATATTTGTTTATTTTATAACTGATTTAAATATTGGTTTTCCTTGACTAAATTCGTGATTTGCATTTAAGGTATTGTGTGTGTGTGTTGTTTACATTTCATTAAAGGTATAATATGTAGTTTTTCCACATAAAAATGTCTAAAAATGACTAAACCAATAATATATATTTTATTTAGTTGTGTACTTTGATTATCAGAAATGTTTCCAACAATTTTTCAAACCTAGATAAATATGAAATATTAATAAAAGTTACGGACCGTGTCATTAGGTCACATATCAATGGCGACGTAACTCCAGTTACCATAGCCATTAAATGAAGGAGAAGAAGAAGCAGACCAGATGAGATGTCAGAGAATGAACATTACTGTTGCTAGGCTAAGCTAACTCATCATGGATCATGATTATGCATTGACGGTTGCTGCACCTTCTGACACCGAAGCTGTCCCGGTAAACAAGCCGGTAAAACGGAAACGTACGGGTCAACCAAGCGATCCCAGAAGAATTTGGGATAAGAAGAGAGCTAAATCAAGGATAAATATTGGTGTGGCCTTTCCGAGATGGAGAGAGCTTCGTGAAAATCTAGGACTACAATTCAACGCCAACCTCGCGTGTGTTCTACTAGACAGGTAAGCAAACATCTGGCTGATGTTATCAAAATATTAATCATTTCCACCAGTGTATTGCAAGCACTGCTGCCCGCCGGGGGAACTAGTGCTCCCGGCCAGCGGCCTCCGCTGCGGAGCGGTGTGGAGCGGAGGCTGGCTAACCACAACATCTAACGATAGGTTTCTATAATGCTGAGCTGATGCCGGTAAATTCACAGAGTGAGGAACGTCAGATCTGTATGTTATATGACTACAACTCCCATGATCCCACGCTACTTTGTGACGTCATCCAACTCCGTCTTCTGTTATTGTTTTGGTTTGAGACCCCTAGCGGCAGAAAATTCCATATTGCACGTTTAAGGTGTGTTTTGAGTAAAAAAAGGGAGTAGTGATTTAAAAAGCATAAATAATTCTTAGTGGGTTAAAACTAGTGATTAAAATCATTTAGTCCTACTAAGTGGAGGCACCGCCAAATATTTCAAATTAATAATTGAGCTGTTTGTAAGATGGAAATCTTATTGTGTGAACAGGTTAATACAGACCACCATAAATAAACGTACCCAGGGCCCCGCTCACAGTACTGCCACACAGGTTATTCAGTTATTAACCACCTAGCTACATGGGTCGGGTGCTACACACGCATTAATGTGCTATTTAAATCTTTAAAGATTTAGTCCCCCCTCCCATTACTAGTAGTGGTATATCCCACACTCTTTCCAACGGGCGGGGCTGCTTGGCAGCAGTAGCAGCGTGTGGCTGGAACCGCTGCCCATATCGCGCATCACGGGGTAAGATGTACACTCACACAGACACAGTTTAACTTACACAAGTTACAACACATCTCATTTACTGTTACAACAAGCCCCAGGCCCAGGCTGATAATATAAACTGTCTGCAACATTTCTTGTGCATTGTTCAAAAGCCTACTCAATTACGAGTGCTGCTAAGCTAAAAGCTAATGATTAAGCTCAGAGTTTAGTGATAGTCAGAGAGGACAGGAGAGAAAGAAGAGGGAGAGGACAGGACAAGAGCAGTCAGTGGCGGAGCGGCTCGTAGGTAATATCTGTAGGCTCAGTGAGTGAGACAAAACATGACAGACGTGCAGCTTAACCGACGAGGAGTGGTCATTACGCGCGACTATTACGCACGGTTGTGACAGAGCGGCAGATCTCACAGCACACTGTTTATAAACCAGTTTACCAGTTTAACTGCAGGAAATGTTTAGTTGTTAAGCCATTTCTCATAAGTATAGACATTCACTGTATATCGACACACCTGAGCAAGAGAAAAAAGAAGGAGAAAAGGAGAGAGATCGAGTTTCTGTCTTTGATGAATGAAGCCTTATTGTTTTGCTGCTATTAAACAATGAGAAACATGTTTTCTCTGTTTACTTAATAGCATAAATATTCACACTACTGCGCACGGGGAGACAGAGACTTGCTCTGCTCCAGACACACTTAGCACCTTGGACAGCACGGCGCACCTGACTGTTGTCGCTAGTACTGCATATAGGCTTTATTTTAGTTCAGTATTGGGTGTGTGTTACATTTTGCCCATTACTAACAATACTGTGAAGATTAAAGCGTCAAATTGCGGTAAAAGATGCTGTAAAAAAGACAGGCTACAACTTTTTTACCTTGCCCCCCCTCCACCAATAATCTGACTTAATCTCGTAAAAGGAGAATTTCGGATTTGTTTGTACATTGTGCGGGTAAGTCGTCTGAGGGGTTCCATAACGTTTCGCCATCTTGAGAATACATCCGCCAGCAAGGGATATACAGCCCCGCCTTCGGCGTTTTTGTTGAGAGCCAGGCCAGCGCTGCGTGACCGAGAAGCCGAAGGAGAGGAGCAAGAGGCGCTTCACTACTACCCTGGCACCACTGCAGCACAACAAAGTTCCACTCTTTGAGCATAATGCAGGATCATGCCTATACAGCATCACAAGAGATGGAATCCTCGTCGCCAAGAAAGCGCAAAGGGGAATCAAAAAGGCAACATGACCCGCTGTTAGCGTTGCTGGCCGCTACCCGCTGTTAGCTGCGCCTCTGTCAGCAGCACAGTGATGGGAGGAGAGGGGTGAGGTGTATGAGGTTGAGCCACTTGTCAGTTGTCAAAAGACAAGACGTGATTGGTTTGTTTCGATTTACACCCGCCCCAACAGTCCTATGTTGTAAGCACAGCCAGCATGGTGAGGAGGGGGTTTTTCAACTCGTTTCTTGTGTGTCTGTGTAGGAGCCTGAATGAATACTCCATGAAGTATCAGATGACATGGTTTCATCATTGTTATCATAGCTTTTTGGTACCCAGTACCGTTGTTGCAATATGCGTTTGAAACAGTGAGGCGCTAGAGTGCGCTATCCGTTTGAATGCAATATATGATTTCAATATTAGATGGGAGAAATTCCTACACACTGTGGCTTTAAAAAAAAAAAAAAGAAACTCGACTACTGTGTGTTATGTTCGTGAATTGAGCATGCAGTGCTGCTCATGATAATCCAGCTTCACGCATGAACTGCTTCTGCATGTTTGCTAGGCAAAGGGAAGCCTGTTGCCATTTATTTGGCAAATGTCCACCAGCCCCTTCTCAGGGCCTGCAGCCAGCTAAGCGCTCTAGGTTGGTGGGTCTGGCAGTGGGGGGCAGGGGCCCATCAGGGTGCTCTCCCATCTCCATTATTACAGTTTCAGTGGAGGGTGAGCGGACTGTGTCACATAGGAACTTCCCTGCTCCTGGGCCCTTAGAGAATGATGAGTTGGCCTCAGAGGGGCAGCAGGTGCCTGTAAAGGAGAATGACCAGCAGTCATCTCTCCTTCAGGGAACTATTGTCTGGGCTGCTTTGGCTCTGGGGCTTGAAAATGGGGGCAACCCACACAGTTCCTTGTGCCTCTCCTTTCTAGTTTCAAGGAGGTGGTCAGGAGTCGGTTTACAACACCATCGGCAGGGGCACAC